TTTCTATCCCTCTCCTTCTCCCTTCCTCTCTGTAAAAAATCAATAAAATATATTTTTAAAAAAGTAAACCTGTTTCCATGGAAAAATAAATATTGGATTCAAGATATAATAAAAATAGAGTATTCCTATAATTATTTAAAAATTAACAATAGCAAAAATTAGTAGATGCTTACCATACATGTTTTTAACACAACTTATATGATGGCTTTCATTCTTATTCTCTTCTTACAGATGAGGAAAATAAGTATAATTTCCTTACAAACAGGTAAGTGACTTTTATTGTACATATCTTATACTGAGATCATAATATTGCAGAGGAAATATCTATACTTTGGCAAACAAGAACTTCTGATGTACCTTTCTGACCCTATGTTCTGCCATCCAACCCACAAGTGCACTCAGCATATTGCTCATGAAACACTAGAACAGCAGCCTGTTCTTCACTTCTGAATCTTACCCTCTGCCAGGACCCAGCTCAAATGCCACACCTCCCCGAAACTCTTACTTAGCACCCTGACTCATACTTACTTGTAATTGTTTCATATTAAACTTTTTTTTGCATTCTTCTCTTACTTTCTCTTCTTTTCCCTGGTAGAGAATGCCATATTTATCCTTGTGTTTTCTACACACACAGTGCAGTGTTATTTGTTCTTTGGCAAATACCTGAGAGCCTACATTTTAGACCCGGGGATAAAAAGGCAGACCAGACCCTCAGAAAGGTTACAATCTAGCTGGGATGATAAATGTAAACAACTAATGCTGCAAATTAAAAATAGACCTTGATTTTCTTTGATCTTATCATTATCCCTGATAAAGCCAATCAAATACTCATACCTATTACTAACTAATTAAAAAAAAGTTTCTAACATTACATGTATTTCAAGGAATAGCATTTTGATTATACTGTCCAAATGCTATTACTTAAATTCTCGATTAAACAGCTATGAGTATAAAGGTGAACTTTTTTAGCTCAGTGTTACCTGTGACATAAGCAACCTGATCTCTGGCATGGTCTCGGTCTTTCTTCATTTTTTCCAAGTCTACTTCAAGAGCTTGTTTGTCTTGTTTCAGTCTTTTGATGTCTTCCAATAAACTGTTTTTTTCTTTCTTGATATTCATAGAAATACCAAAGCAAATTATTTTTAAACCAACATAAATTGTAGCATAGTTTCTTTCACACAATCTATTACAAATACTGCTAATTATTTTTTCCTAAATTTTAGCTCTGATTTTATCACACACACACACACCCCAAATTATTAATAGCTCCCCACAGCCTATTAGAATCAGCTCTAATCATCTAACTCAGTACAGTCTGAAAGACCTCACCTACTGTTCTAACTTGTGGATGCTGCAATAACCTGCCTCTTCCACTCTCAGCATCCATAGTCTAGTCTCCTCACAGCAGCCAGAGGATTGCTTTAGAGAGTCAGTTAGTATCACTCCTTTGTTTGAAACTCTCTGGCTGCCATCCTCCAAGGACTCAAAGTCCTTACCATGACCTTCAATGTCACATATACAGCAGCCTGGCTCACATTTCTGACTGCACCTACTACAATCTGTCCCTCCCACTCCATTCCCCTGAGACCTCCTAGTTCTTTGAACACGCCCAGCACACTCCTACTCCAATGTGTTTGCACTTACTATTTCCTGTGCCCCCAGATAGCAGGTGGCTTGCTCCTTCACTTTTCAGGAATTCTGTTCAAATGAAGCCCCAGGAAGACCTTCCCTGATCACTCTCTAAAATAGCAACCCCCATCCTGGCTCCCAGGTATAATGCTTTATTTTCTTCTAACAACACTCATCACCACCTGATATATGCTTGGCACATCAAACAAACGTGGAATGAATTCCCAATATGCCCTACATTCCACACTCTTCTCAATGGCCCCCATCCTGCTGCTTGACAAAAATCATACTTCTCCTTCAAAGCTTAGTTCAGATGGGACTATTCCTGATTATTCCCTCCTTTGCGCCCCCACAAACTTTCACTCTACCTCTAGTATAGCATTTGTTACTTTCTGTTTGTGTACATGCCCTTTCTCTTTATTAGGCTGAAAGCTCTCTGGGGACCCAGACTGATTTATTACTACCTGTTTACTTTATGGGGCTAAGCACATGGCAGATAATAAATGTACACTGAATTGAATTCTTGGGCTCATGGTAGTACATTTGATATAGTTAAGTCTCAAAATAAAAATTCTTACAAATTATACTTCCTTACAATTTAAAATCTAGTCTTATATATGATCTTGGTTTCTATTTGCATCACAGACTTAACTGAATCATTTCACTGTTTCATCTTCTGTAGATGTCTTTTCAGGAGAGCAACGAGTTTTTGAATGCTCAAGTATCTTTCTACAAATACCCGTTGTTTTGTTTAATTAATTCAGCCAATTTAGAAATGTTCTCTTGTAGTGTCTACTTCATAGCATTATAGAATTTTAGAATTCAAAGGAACTTTAAACATCTTAAGTTCAAACATGCAATCACTGCTTAAATGGATGTCCATTTTATGCTTGCATCTGTCCAGGGACTGAGACTTCCCACCAGTAAGAAGGCCAGTATGCCCATGTCAATCCAAGTACTTCCCCTCCCTTGTACTGGGAGACATCCAGATAGGGCCTCTGCCTGCCTCTCTGGCCTTACCTTCCACCACTCTCGTCCTGACTCACCCACTTCTGCCTCAGAGGCCTCTGCTTCTGGAAGGTAAGCCATTTTTTATTTAGGGCTTGTGCTTTCCCCGTGGCTAGAAGGATTGATCTTTGCAGTTAGCTGCTGCTTCTCTTTAGCTCTCAACTCAGACATCCCTTTCTCAGAGAGTGCCTCCTCAACCACCCAATTGGATACTGCCTTCCCCCACCCCACCCACCATTATTCTCTACACTAGAGGCCTGACGCACGGATTCGTGCACATTGAAAGGAAATTAATTAGAAGGTGGCTGGCAGGGTGGGACTGGGCAAGATGGGCCGGACATGCCCTCAAGCCAACCTCCCTTGGTCCCTCCCCAGCCAGCCGCACCTGGGGCAGCACCAGGGCTTGAAAGGCGTCTGTGGAGTGAGCAGGGTCCCTTTGGCAGGGGAGGTCCCTCGGCTCAAAACTGGCAGTCCAACATCCCCCTGAGGGGTCCCGGAGTACGAGAGGGCACTCTGCAAAGTTGTTGTTGCTCGGCAGCTTCTGCATTAAACGTCTGCCCCCTGGTGGTCGGTATGCGGCATATCTACCAGTCAGATGGTTGGATGGTCACTTAGGCTTTTACATATATAGATTTACTTTCTTCAAAGAACTGACCACGACCAATATGTGCAGTTATTTCATTGGTTTACTTACTATCTGTCTTTCCCACTAGAATATATGTTCCTAATGAGCAAGGTCCATGCCTACCCTGTTTTATCTACTGTTTTTCCAAGGCCAGTGTGAGTGCTTGGCATCTGGCAGGTGCTTGATAAAGACTGATGGAATGAATGACCTGTGGTCAGCCTCATTCTCCTCCCCACCCTGGGTACTAAAAGGAAAGGGCTCAGAACCTTTGTTATTACTATGTATCCATCCATAGTTTATAAAGAACCAACTCACATGTTAAGACTAAACCAATTAGTATTTTTAAGATACAAATTAGACTGTACACAAGTATACTTGATATGAATATCATTATATTACAGATTTATCCCAGTAGGAATAATGTTTGCTCTAAAACTATTTAAACACAGAATACCAAAGGGAATAAAAATAAAGGTGTATTTACATCCCACCTTTTGGTATTTGTACAAATAAATCCCCAAAGAATTTTTACCTTAAACTAACACTTTTCTTTTTTTTCTCTTAAAATTTCTTTTAAAGTTTTCTCTGCCTTTGGTAGTTTCACCATAATGGGCCTAGATAGAGATTTTTACTTATTTATCCTAAGTAGGACTCACTGTGCTTCCTGAATTTGAGAATTCATCTCTTTTATAATTTCTAGAAAATGTTCAGCCATTACCTTTTAAAAATATTACTCTAACATCTCATATTTCTGATAATCTCCATTTCTCTATTTTTCTGTGTCTCATTCTAAGTTCTTTAGATATATCATCTAGTTTACTATTTTTTCCACAGTTGTATATGATTATTTAACTTCTCACTTATTTTTTAGTTTTCAGGAAGATATTTTATTTCAAAAGTTGTTTATTTTACTCTGAATTTGCCTAGTCTGTTTCCTTCTTTTGCTCATAGTTTATTTATTTAGTATATTTAATAATTTTAAGGCTATTTATTTTATAGTCTATTCAGTAATTCTGTTGGGGTGCTAATCCTGCTGTTTATTAAATCGTCCCATGCCTGCTCATTGTGGATTGCTTCTTTGGGTTTTGTATTTTTGCACAGTGAGCACACTGTCAGCGGGATTTTATCTGTAGTAATACTGTGTGAGCTCGGTAAGGCTGTATACCTCTAAGAGTTGTTTTGCTTTGTTTCTTCTAACACATTAGGGATCATCACTGACTCAGGACCACAGTTTATTTTTCTGCTGTTTGAGCATGACTATCCCCTGCAGATAATGTCAGTTCATAAACTAAAACACAAATGAAGGCAGAAGAAATGATATTTACACTGAAGAACCAGGAAAGCACAGGCATCAAGCAGATGAGACTTTTCCGCCTTCTCTATCTGGAGATCAAGTGAAGACAGAAAAGCTTACTCAACATCTCAGCCACCTTATGAAGGTGGGTGGATTTTCTCCTAGTGCACTGTTTCACTGAAGGATGTAGCCACCTGATGTCCTGGTATCTTGTCTCTATCTAATAGTTATTCTGTACATACATGCATCTGAAGAAAGTTCTCTAATGGATTCATATTTGCAGTTGCTTTTTATATACTACAAAAACCTGTTAAACATCAATTACTAAACTACTAGAGGCCTGATGCATGAAACTCGTGCAAGAGTAGGCGTTCTTTCCCCTGGCTGCCAGCACTGGCTTCCCTCGCAGCCCCGGCTTTGTCTGGAAGGTCATCTGGTCTAATTAGCATGTGATGCTTTTATTATGGTATATGTTTAAATTTCTATGTAACCATAACCTCAATTTATATAATAAATTTCTGATTAAAACGTGATATGTAATTGGAATTTTTCTAGTTTTCATAATCCTTCAAATAGAGTGGAAGGGCTTTTTAGTTTAGTACTATGGTTCTTATGGGGAGAATTAACTGCCCTCTCACAGGGAGTGTTTGAAAACATGGCAGTGGTTTTGATTCTTACAATGATTGGTGGGTGCACTGCAGACAGAACTTATAAAAATTATGTAATACATGACATTGTTCTGCTTAAAATAGAATTAACCTGCCCCAAGGGTCTCCCATTGATAAATACTGCTCCATAAAATTCTAGGCCATTTTCTTTATAATATTACAATACAATTAATAAAAATAAAGAAAAAATAGGGAGTAACTATTCCATTTTACGTTTGTGGTAGGTATGTCAGACACAAATCTTTATAGATATAGTCTCTGCCCCCTATAAGTCCACTTAAAAAGCCAACTATGTTTTTAAGGTGAACAATCATCTTCAAATTATTTTCCTATTTAAGCTGTACATTTTCCATGAGGAATCTGTTTGAAATAATGTATGCATACACTAACTAAGGTTAAGCCTCTAACATGGATCCATATAATAAATGCCTAAAGAGAGGCTGTTATAAAGAGGATGCCATCTATAAAGCCAGAATTACATTGTTTCCTCTACATTAAGGTTACATGTATGTGCTAAATGCTAATCTTTGATATTTTTTAATTTTTAAGTGGTATGAAATTTATAAAAGGATCTTATTCATTCATAAATTACAAAGATTTTTATACATATGCTAATTTTTAAAATAATAATCTTTACTATTGTTAATAGTCAAAATCCTTATTCTACTTACCTGTGCCACGCGTAGTTCTGTTAACAGATCTGTAAAATTCTGGTTTCTGGTGGGCTCTGAATCTTCAACTACCTGAGACAGGAAACGATTTCTTTGCATCTGTTCTCTGATTTATTTTGAAAGTAAAAATATTTTTTTACAAGGTATTCTTTTCAATGCAAAATTTTCAATTTTTAAAAATTAAAAACTTTAATGGATGCTGGAACTATGTGAGTCACTGAAGATAACTAAAAATAGAACTATAAAATTCTTTCCTCTCAATTCTCAAAGAAGAAATCAATGTCACAGAAATATGTGCTGCATATTTCCTGTGGTGCTGTGTACTCCGTCACATCATTCTAGACTCCTTTCTGAGAAACACAAATTGCCAATCATACACATGGCAACTAACAAACCCAAACAGTCTACTATTTTTACCTTAGGCTCAATTTTTCTGTCTTTTTTTTTCCTCCAGAGACATTATATAAGTTTAAGAATCCATATATGATGATCTAACCCTAATGTACAAAATAAACCGTTTATTTCATTATGAAAGTTCATTTAGAGTTTCAGTTTTGGATCCTGGAATAGCTCTCTTTTAATAGCCAGGTAGTATATGATCTAATATTTTTAAATACTTTATTGAAATATCTGTGAAGAAAGCAGATGTAAAGCTTTCATGCATCAGAACTGTGCAGATTATTACCCTTGGGGTGGAGTCACACTTACCTGTGATAAGGAGAGTTGTTGTTTTTCTAATTTACAAAAAAGTGGCCTTGCTTGCCAACCTCTATACCTTCTAGCTTTGTCTGTCTATTAGAAGGTGCACTTTTTCTATTTCCCATGAAAGATCAGTATAAGCCAGTGGTCGGCAAACTGTGGACCCTTGAGTGTGGCTCTTCCACAAAATACCACGTGCGGGCGCGCACGTTCAGTATGATTGAAACTTCATGGCCACACTCAAGGGGCCAAAGAGCCACATGTGGCTCGCGAGCCGCAGTTTGCCGACCACTGGTATAAGCTAACAGCAGCCCTGCCTCTTATACCCTAGATCAGCGGTTCTCAACCTGTGGGTTGCGACCCCTTTGGGGGTCAAACGACCCTTTCAAAGGGGTCGCCTAAATACATCCTGCATATCAGATATTTACAATTCATAACAGTAGCAAAATTACAGTTATGAAGTAGCAACGAAAATAATTTTATGGTTGGGGGTCACCACAACATGAGGAATTGTATTAAAGGGTTGCAGCATTAGGAAGGTTGAGAACCACTGCCCTAGATCAAGCATGTCAAACTCGGGGGCCGCATGCCTCGTTTATTTGGCCTGTGTTAGCCTTTAAGTTTGATGTGCTTGCCTAGGTCAGTGGTTGGCAAACTGGCCCCTTGAGTGTGGTTCTTCCACAAAATACCACGTGCAGGCGTGCACGGACAGTGCGATTGAAACTTCGTGGCCCATGCTATGGGGCCAAAGAGCCACATGTGGCTCGTGAGCCGATGTTTGCCGACCACTGCCCTAGGTTATCTCACAGCAACAAAAAAGGAGCCGGAAGTATGAATAAACACAGCATTCACGACATGCACAGCCACAGAAGCTTCTTCTGAGAGCCGTCCTGAGAGTTAGGTGTTTATGTGAAATGATGCACAACTGGTAGTCATCTCCTAAAGGCAGATAGTGTCCTAGCATGCCCATGTGTATGGATTCAGCTTTTTCACTCAGTATGTGAAAGCTGGATGTAGTAACATCCCAAAGACCTGATATATCTTCCTAAGTAGGTGCTCGTGCTCCATCAGCTCACCATGGTTAGTATTGGTCGATAACTCAAGGTTCTCCTTCTCCGGAGAAATGCCTCAGGTAAACAGCAACTCCTCCCCTTGGTCCAGAGCGGCGGTCGCCAACCGGTGGTCCATGAGGTCTGAAAGGTTGGCGACCGCTGGTCCAGAGGATATCTCTCAACCGCTTCCTGGGCACTTCTTGGCCAGTGACAGACTGGCTTGGGGTACAAAAGGCTGCCCTCTCTTGCTTCAAATGGGGACCAACTATGTGGTGCAACCTGTTCTCCCAAGCTTCCTGGTGAGAGCAGAATGAAGGCACTCTCAGCTGAGAACACACTCTTACTTACCTTCCCTCCCCTGCCCACCCCTCATCTTGCTTCTCTTGATCCTTTTCTCCTGAGTTATCCCTAGGAATCACCTCCACAAAGACCTCCATCTGAGACTCTACTTATATGGAACCTGATCTAGGACAGTAAGGGATACTGTATGATTTCTGTTTTGCATTATTATGAAAGGCATTATTACTATCATTACATAAGCATTTCAGGCTTCATGATCGATCAAGAGGAATATTATATGTTCAGTTTTCTGAAGGTGATCCCAAACTCAAATATAAATATGCTGAATACTTATAGTATGTATTTCTCATCTAATACCAAAAGAAAAATCTGTTAAATATTCAAAATATGAAAGTTATGAAACTGTAAATCAGTGTATAAAAGTTTTTCATTTCTAAGTATAACTAAATGTATTTTTAATATAACAATAAAGTGCTTAGAAATAGTCTAAGTATTTTATTTTAAGAACTAAAAGGGACTTACTTTAAGGAAGCTAACTCACTGAATAAACTCTGGTTTTCCTTAAACATTCGTTCCTCATTTTTCTTGTTTTGTTCTTGGAGATCTTTCACTTGATTATACAATCTTTCGTTTTCCTTTTTATAAATAGAAAATTACATTTTAGTTGAAAGTAGTACTTACATAAGTACATATGCTCATAACAGATACACTTTAACCATTTTTAAGGTTTTTAAAAATTTCTTCAGTTTCTGAGTAAGCAAAATCTTTTAAAAATTCTTTATTATCATAGAAGGATAATCTATCTGAAAACATTCTTTCCAAAATGCTTATTTTTTTAAAAAAGTTGCAGTGATTTCCAAAGCCAAAGCGCCTAAGGTCAGAATGAGATACTACATTTCACAAGAGTAAATGGGTGAGTGACTGCAGGAATAATCGCATTCCAACTCTGTGCTCCAGAGGAAAGTACATAAATATATAGGAACATAAATTTTGTGTTATCATTGTGGGAGGGGATGGTTGGCAAACTTTTAGGTCTGTGAAATCCTCCTAAAAACCCATGCTCTGTACAGTAAGATCAGAATGGCAGGCCAAGGGTTCAGAAACATCTTATTCAAGGGCAATATGTCCTACAAAATCAGTCCTATTTTGCCCAGCTGGTATGGCTCAGTGGTTGAACATTAACCTATGAATCATGGTCCGATTCCTGTCAGGGTACATGCCCGGGTTGCAGGCTCAATCCCCAGTGGGGGGCATGCAGGAGGCAGCCGATCAATGATTCTCTCTCATCAATGATGTTTCTATCCCTCTCTCCCTCTCCTTTCCTCTCTTTGAAATCAATAAAAATATATTAAAAATCAAACCTATATCATTTATAGTAACTGTTGTAATCTCCGATGTGGTAATGCTTTTTTTGGGATGTCCCTGGATGATAATGCTTGTTATTGGTAGACTCAATGTTTAAGTTATGGTTGTCAAAAGAGAAAAAGGTAGTAAGATAGAAGGAGAAGGGGAGGGAAGAGACTAAGATGAAATCTCATGCTGGAGATTACTAAACCTATCCTGGTTGACTGTCAGGTCAACATCACCAAGATTCCATCACATATCACGGATATTTGCCTTCTGTAGGACACATTTTCTCTCATTTAATTCAAAATTTTTTCACTCTCAACTGATTCACATTTTTCAATTGAATAAACTATTCAATATTATCTACCGAAAAGCTTTATAGAAAATAGGAAAGTTTTTAAGGAACATGACTATTAAGAATAATGATAGGCAACATTCATTGATTGGTTAGTCTGTCCCAGGCACTAAGAGGTTAGTTTGTGCTGTTTTAATTTTATAGCTGCCTTATGAGACAGGTACTATTATCATCATCCCCATTTCATGAATGAGAAAATTGGGTTAGAGAAGTGAAGTCATTTGTCCAAGACTGCACAGCAGATGGTAGAGCTAAGTCTAAAACCAGATTCTTTGAATTTAGAACCTGTGCTCTTAACCACTCTAATTCTGTCCATGAGAAATGGGCAGACTAGTCAAATTATCACTTCCTCATATTTGCCAGAATTCCCATTACCTGTTAAATGAGCACACACATATTTTAATATTCCTTGTTTTTATAATCAGAGGATCACAAGAACAA